CTGGAAGCCATGAATGCCCAGCATAAGAAAGAAATGGAAACCATGATCGCCCAACATAAGAAAGAAATGGAATCCATGAAATAGATTCAAACAGATATTCAGATTAAAAACTCCATTGAAATCATGCAGAGCAGATTAAGAGAATCTGAAGACAGAATATCAGATATAGAAGACAGGATTGCAGTTAAGGACCATGAAAGCAGAGATTTCTTAAAGATAGTAAGGGACCATGAGAAATCAATCCAACAGCTGCTAGATGATGCAAAGAAGATTGATAGGAGTCCACGAAAAAACAGGAGAAAGTACAATTGACATAAAAAAACCTGTTCACAGAAGTAATAGTAGAAAACTTCCCAGACAGAGGTGGAGAACTGCACATACAGATAAGTGAGCCATATAGAACTCCCAACTAGCCATGACCAAAAAAACTACACATAGACATATAATAGTCAAGATCCCAGAAACCCAACAGAAGAACAAAATTCTACAATCATTTAGAGAAAAGAAACAAATCACCTACAAAGGAAAGCCCATCAGAATCATGGAAGATTTCTCAACACAAACCCTCAAATCAAGGAGAGACTGGAGTGAAGTATTTCAAGCCCTACAAGAAAATAACTTCCAACCTAGACTGTTGTATCCAGCAAAATTATCTTTCAAAATTGATGGGGAAATTAGATACTTTCACGATAAAGAACACCTGAGAAATTTCATGAACACCAAACCAGCACTCCAATATTAAGCAATATCCTAGAAAAAGTCAATGAAGGTCACAACTCCATGAGGCCCAACAGAGAGAAGACACCATGCAAGGTAAGACACTAAAGGGAAAGGGGGAAAAATAAGAAATAAAAGGGCCAACAACAGTAAAACATCATGACAAGGATGAGTCAATATTTCTCAATTATAACTATCAATGTTAAAGGCCTCAATTCACCAATCAAAAGAAATAGACTGACAGAATGGATTAAGAAGTAAAACCCAGCAATATGCTGTATACAAGAAACACACTTAACTCGAAAGGAAATTCACAGACTGAAAGTAAAAGTATGGAAAACAGTTCTCCACACTACAGGAACCCAGAAAAAAGCAGGCGTAGCAATCTTATTTGAGGACAAAGTAGATTTCAAATCAAAACTAATTAAGAGAGACAAAGATGGTCACTATATACTTGTGAAGGGAACAATGCAAGAGGAAGAGATGACAATCCTAAATATATATGCACTAAATACAAATGCCCCCAACTATACAAAACAAATATTAAGGGACATGAAAAACCAAATAAGCACTAATACAATTGTAGTGGGGGACCTCAACACCCCTCTATCACAAATAGATCATCTAGAAAAAAAATTAACAATGAAATTCTAGAACTGAATCAAGATGTTGAACAAATGGACTTAATAGGTGTTTACAGAGTGTTCTACCCCACAAAATCAGAATACACATTCTTTTCAGCTACACACGGGTCATTCTCCAAAATAGATCACATGCTAGCTCATAGGACATATCTAAGTAAATGTAAAAGAAC